GAAGAATTCTGTTTTGGCGGTTTAAGGAACAACTAAATACCAAACGCTAGGGGTATTAGTTTTCACTTCAAACGGTTACTAAAATACGATGCAAAATAAATAGCGCTCGACACATGCCAAGAAAAGCGAACACCATTTCAACAATAGTCAGGCTACTGCCAACAGATAAGCGAAAACAAGGCAAGCGCATAATTCAGGCGTACTAGTAATACTTGTTTTTCCTTTTCAGCGAATTAAATATCCAACTTTCGTAAAAAAAACTTATAGACTACTTGTAGGTAGATATTTTTTTAGAGTTTTGATAACATATTGCGCCGGTATTATGTGTCCAAAAATTAATGATGAAGTGGGCTGCCGGATCCCGGCTTGGGGAGACACCCCTTATAGGTGGTTTCTTACGACCATCCATTAGGGTTTCGTACATTAAAATGAGCATGCAGGACCTGCTTTTAAGTGCAGAAAAGGGATCGAGGTTTTTGCTTCCACAGCGCTCTTCCACATTTTACAGCGTGCTTGCATTCTTTTAATCGATCATGAACGGTACAGCGCGATCTGCAGAACAAAACTTCTCGTTGCTTACCAAATTACGGAAGATATAAAAAAAAACGGTAAGATGTGGTTTGGTAGCCCCACCTGATGGACACAATACTGTTGGGGTTGTGGTCAAGGGTTAGGGTTAGGGGTTGGGGTCTTGGCTTAGGGGTTATAGTTGGGAATTGGGTTAGGGTTAGGGGTTAGCGCAACTATTCCTCAACCATTCAAATCTAAAGCAAGCATTCCAAATAGCTTTTCTTTTGCGTACAACTACTTGACCTCTTTGCCTGTGCGTTCCCCGGCCCCACCTGTGAAAGCCCCTATTACTACCGGTCCCGTATTAAAAGTGTCTGGGGTTTGTTTACTTCAGGCGGGGCTACATAGCCTCATCCGACCAAATTTTTGTACATAAACTCAATTCACTCAGGAATGGGCGCACACCGATCTATTGGCTTCCCGAAGCAAACAAGCTTCGTATGCGCGATAGGGGTCACCAACGGGCAACCACCTACCAGGCCGAAGTCGGCCAAGCTATGATAGCAGAGGGGAGACGACAGAGTCTGAGGGGTAGATTGATACAGCACTGTTTCGGGCTTAGTTGCCTTCATTCAGCCAATCATAACCCTGACCACCAGCAGCTGGTACCGGAAACACAAACATGCGCTCAGACGCACCTGGCGCAGCTGGTCCACCACTGGGGTCTACCAGATGGGTCATAAGCATTTCATCGAACCGAAGTTCATCAGTGCCTCGCCACGTGCCATTCTCCGTCGCTGCGGATCGGGTATTTATTCACTCAGGAATGGGCGCACACCGATCCATTGGCTTCCCGAAGCAAAAAGCAAACTCAATTAAATTTAACTGTCTTATTATTGGCTATGCGAGATACTACGCACAAATATTCCTGAAGACGTAAATAAGTCACGGCTTACGCGTTCGGCAGCCGAAACCGTATGGAGGCGTCGAGAAAGCCGAGCGTTTGTATTCTAACCGAAGCAAAGTAAACCAACATGTAGCCGGCGATCCTTACAACATGCGTTGTATGCTGAGTACTGACATGGCGCAAAAAAATAAAAAAAATAAACAAAATATAAACAAGTCACGGCGCACCGAATCGACAACGGAATGCAGCAAAAGTATACAGCAAAAACTAAGAAATCAAGGTAATGCACGTCGGATCACGAAGAGTGGGGAGCAAAAACCGAAGGCCAGTTCATGCCAAATAAATGATGACTGAAAAGGGTTAAACCTAAACAACTTGCTGCATGTGGTTATGTAAATGCGCTAGATGACACCCAAGGGGAGATTTCCTGTAGTTATTTATTAGTAAGCAACCTGGGGCCTACTGAAATAAATACAGTAGCTAGTTATACACCTTAAGCCCAGCGGGGTTACACAACCCATACTCTCCGTTAACTTGTTAAACAGTCCTTTCTATTTGTTTTAAGGGAGGATCCGGAGAGTAGCAAATTAATGCGGCCATCATGAAGCTGTTACAAAACGTGAATATTCCATTTGTGTGTCAGGTTTCGGACCTACTATCGGCAACTCTACAAATGTCGAAACTATAGGCTTCGTCGAGCGCTGATTTCTCCATGTTTTCTCCTGCAAACATTACTAGTATTCATTTTCGCCCTGCACTGAAAATATTATGTTGTGTAGACAGGCCTGCCTTTACGCACACTTAAATGTTAGAATATCCGCTCTTCGCTGGAATCCTCGGCCCTGACAAGACCAGTCCTCTTAGTAGCTAGCACTTCAGATGAGTAACCAACCGCGGGCTGGTTTTTGAAAACATCCGCACTCGGACTGACTGTCAACTGGATTGGCGCCTCTCGGTGGATTGCAGTGGGAAAATGCCCTGGCTGCTGAAGTTTTAGTGAGTCCACGGGGGAAGGAGGGTGTAGGTAGCAAACACTGAAGAGTCCGCCGGGGACGGGGGGGGACTAGATTAATCAGCAGTCGGGGGAGGAGGGGGAGGATAAATGCCACTTCAGTTGGACTCATGTGCAATTAGTGGAGAAGTAGGTTGCCTACGCTATCAAGCTGCGAGCCTTTAAGCTTTAAGCAAGGTTTCTTGCCTGTCCAAGTCTGGGCGCCCCAATCACCCCATCGAAAACGCCTAGGTGATATGACCGCGGTTGCAACGCGCTTGTGCAGAACAGGGATACCCGATTTACTGGCCTACTTTTCCTTCCCCTGGGCAGCTCTGTGTGCTAATGCGTAGCTGGGAGGGACATGTTTAGGGAGCGTGGGCGGGGGGGGGGGGGCGGGAGGCTAGTCATCCTTCTCCTGCGTCCGGACTGGTCGATAGATGACACTGAGTCAGTCCACAGTCACCCAATTTACGCTCATGTCTGTCCACTTCCAACATGCACTGCTCGAATGCGCTACTCTGCAACAAAAACCACATGCCATGTGACATTTCCACCAGTCTACGTAGTAGTGGGAGGAGTCCGTTTCCCGTAGAAGAGAAAGGAGGGCGTAGCCACTGACTGTGTTCAAACGTTTGCGCTTCGTACGAAAAAGTGGCATATCTCGTCTTTTGCAGGGCCACCTCTGCGGTTAAACAAAAAGTACGCGTACCCACAAAACCGAAGCCCCTCTGAGAAACCATAATGCAATTTGATCAAATATTAATTAAATTTACTTCTTGGGGTTGGACACGCAAATAGGAGTGGCTTTTGGGCCTATCTCCGTGTCCTAACTTTAACCAAAGCCCTAACCCTCAAAACCCGGACATTGGTCCTTATTCTCGTGTCCTGCCGAAAATATTTTTTGTTTTGGGAACATATCGGCGTTACCTTATAATTAGGTGGTTTCCCTGATTACTAACTGTCTTAGACTACGTTTGGGAATTCGTGCGTCTTTTTTAAGTAGAGGACATAAATTCGAACGAGAAAATTTAGCCAAAACAACCGTCGTCAGTTTGGAACTTGATTTTTAGTTCCGTGTAAGTCAGATGAGTCAGGATGTACAGAAACTATTTACTTTTGAAAAAAGACAGAATTTTGTTCTTTTAAAATAGTTTTTTGCAAATCCGTCTAATGTTATGCCCTAAAATTAAGTAATAAAGTCAACAGGGAGGCCTCTATTTAAACACATCCCTCATCTCCATAAATATGCAAATATCCCAAAAGCAACTTTGAAAGGACCTGCCAACAAGTGGCCGCATTAACTTTTGAGCATATAGTACCAGTTACTGCTAGTGAGTAATTCAGAAATGAAACAGGGAGAATATTAACTGATTGGGTTATTTTTTAGTATTTATACGGACACTTTATGGCGCATTTATTGTGACCGGACAAAGCCAAAAAGTAAGAAAATATGACGAAGCTCACCTTGTAAAAAATGGAAGGAGTAGTTGTGTCGTATATGACAAAAACATCAATGTATGCCAGGAGCGTGCACAAGCGGACAAAATGTTTGGAAAAGATGGAGAATGTGTACTTTCATCACTGATATGACTCAGCAAAACACTTTTTAGAGCGATAACTCAGGAGAGAAGGTTTACAGTTGAGCACGGGCATATTAATCGCAGGCCGTCGTGGACGTCTATTTTCTTCGACGACTGGGTTAAATGTTTAAACGCATCCACAACTACGACCCAACGCGCCAGTTTCATGAAAAAAACATCCGAGAACTCGCTACCCCGATAAATGTTTTCAAGATCTGACACTTTTCTAGGGTTTTGATGGACCGTCTACAGAATCTTTGAGTTTGAGCGGTCTACTAAAAACAATGAAAGTCGAAATGTAGTTACTGACACGTAAGACCTGAGAAATCAACAGATACCACCGTCGTTAAAAAGTTCAAGGCAATTTAAAAGGGGAAATGCTCTTGATGATCAGGAAATGGTGCCCTTATGCTCGCATCTACTGAACTTAGTCCGATTTCTTATTCGATGACCGGTCCATGAACACATGCTCTCATGAAAAATTTTATTGATGTGACGATGCTCTCGGCAGAAAGCTCCTCAGCGTAGTCGACCGCTTCGCAGTTAGTGCAAGAACGGAGAAGTTAGATCGAATACTCGAGGGATCACTAGGAAACACAGAGACAAATATCAGGCAGTTGACAAGTCGTCATACTGCACATTTTACTAATTTTAGAGGATATTTACGCTAAAATATATATAAGGGTTCTTTTTAAATTGTCATCATGCGTGTGCTGTTTTGTGCGTCGAGCTGCTTACAAGGACAGAATTTGTGCATTTATACCGAGTAAGCTTACTTATTTGACGTGAATACTCGAACTTTTGGCATTTCCGTTTTTCCTGAAAAAAGTGGTGCTTATCACCAATGTAATATTACTTCCAATGCTTCCTTCGTGTTTTCATTTAGCTAAAATCCATTCATTATCAATGCATTTTGGCCGGTTTCCAACTGGTCAGAGATTTTGCATGAAGTCGCGCACATTTGACGAGTTACGTCACCCGACAATTCGACCGTCGATTTCGACGATGTTCACTGTGTGTTCCACAGCGGGGTGAAAGCAGGAACGGTGACCTGTGCATGAGCTAGTTTATTGTGACGGTGGACTTGAGCATGATCTACTGCATTCTCATTCTCATTCTCATCATCATCATCATCATCATCATCATCATCATCATCATCATCATCATCATCATCATCATCATCATCATCATCATCATCATCATCATCATCATCATCATCATCATCATCATCATCATCATCATCATCATCATCATCATCATCATCATCATCATCATCATCCCCCTCATGGCTCCGATGTCCGGAGAGAGTCACGAAGACCGGAGGTGGTGGGGATGGGCGCAGATGGCTGGCGCGGCCGGGGCCACCCCTAGGCTTACACCCTAGTCCACGGAAAATATTTGATCAGAATTGTTAACTACAATAAATATAGTGGGATCGATTCGGATACCTATTGGCGCGGCGGTTATATGCAACTGGGCCTGCTACCACAACCCGAATGTAGGCACTAGTTATCGGCGCGCATTCCCGATAACGTCTGCCGAACTCCAACCTAGCCCTTGTGTTGGTCCAGTGCATCTAGTGGGCGGCCCGTTTTTGGGGCAAACACGTTACCCAGTGTGTAAATGGCAAAACCGAACGAGATTGTAAGAGGAATTTTTTGGTGATTTTTCTGTCCGCTCTGGCCCGTACTCCAGCTACGGGCCAGAAAATCCTGGGATTTAAATTCCAGTTTGGTTGTTTATTGCGCCAAGACCTCTCGGCCAATCGGCCGCACTCGGAAATACTCAAGGTCATCTGGACGCGACGGTCGCCGACTCGGCCCAGTTGCAGGACAGCATGGACGTTGCGCCCTGCTGTCACCAGCCCTCACAGTCCTTAGCATAGCAACGATCAATTAGTAATCGAGAAGTAATACCAACCTCTTTGCACCCAGGATCAAAAATCTAGGCACTCTGTTACTTTCTCCCAAGATTGGCCATTCTAACTCCCGGCAGTAGACAGTAATAAATTCCCGCAAAACCACAACTTTGATGTTAGTTCCCTTCTCTGTTTGATTCAGTGTATATGAATCCTAACCGTGTAATGCTACACCTGCTGCCAAGTGTGATCAGATGGAAATCTGAAATTCTGCTTCGAAGTTAAAGTCCTCAATTTACGAAACTCGGTAATATGAAGCGAGACCTTTGTTGTCATCGACGATAAATAGCTACAGGTCGAGGTAAGGCCAGCGAATACTTCACATCCTTAGCTCGAAGTACAGAATACATGTCATAAAATTCGGCGGTCATCGTACAGTAAGTGGCCTAACTCATGAAATGTGAACAAAAGTTTCGAAATGCGTTCTCGTTTCGAAAAGATTGATAAAGTATGGCTGTAATATTAATCAATGTCCAGCATAATTCTATAATGATCCAGTTACATCAGGGTACCTTCTTTTGAATGAACTTATTTTAGACTGCATGCAATAACTATGCTCGGCTAAAAATGACTACTTATGTAGCATGCATTTTTTCATCGATTTTTGATGCCCTTAAAAGTTCAATTATATTTTATGAAAAAATGCATAAAAATATTCATTTTTTATTTATTCGGTAGAAAATTACGTCTTCTTCCAATTTTATATTCGAAGGAGGAGTATAATTCGGTTTCAAAAAGTTTCTAATTGTGAGATTTTTTAATACCGTGAAATGGCCTTTCATAAAACGTCATGTATCTGTATTTATCAATGTGGCTTGTAAAGTTAAAAATGCTGCTCACATCCTCTGTTTAATATTTTGAACCCCTTATAGTCTCCTTTTAATGCCGTAGAGAAGTGTATGGTTTTCCGTACACAGACTATGCGGCTTGTAGTTTTGAAACCCTGAATGCATGTGTAACAGCAGGTCGGTTTCCATATTAATCGCGAATTAGAAAAGTTTTTTAAAACCGCTATACTCTTCTTTCGAGTGTAAAATTAAAAGAAGACGTGATTTTCTACCGAATAAGTGAAAGAACTAATATTTATATGCATATATTCCATGAAGTATTATTGAATTTTCAAGGGCGTCGAAAATCAACGAGAAAATTGCATGTTACTTAAGCAGTCATTTTTGCAGAGTATAACTCTTGTATGTAGTCGGAAATAAGTTCATTCGAAAGAAGACACCCTGAGGCAACTGGATCATTATAGAATTATGCTGGACGGTGATTAATTTTACAGCCATACTTAATCAATTTTTTCGAAACGAGAACGTACTTCGAAATTTCGGTTGACATTTCGTGAGTAAGTCCACCTACTGTAAGCGCACTAACAGCTGAATTCGCTCACTTAATTCTGATTCCCATTTCGACGTTGGGTGCTTAAAGAAAGACGCGAGACACGCTTGGGCGCATGAAGCCACCAAAGGAAAGTTTTACTGGTAGACAGTAGGCTATACAGTTAGAAAACGAACTGTAATTGGGTCAATTAATAAATGAACTTTGCTGTCGGCCCGCGGTAAAGGCAATTTTTTTTAGAACAAAACAGGATTAAATGACTAGAGTGAACCTTCATCCGTGTGGCCGCTGGCAAATGGTTACACAGTTGTTCCCTCGAAAAGAAATCAGGAGCTTTCACAGAAGGGCTTTTAATTAACAAAAAATGGTTAGGAGAATAGAAGACAATTTTTGGATTTGCAACAGATGAGTTGGGCAGAGGAAAAGGCAAAAATCGGACGAATATGCTAATAGCACCGAAATGATATTAATCTGGCTGTAGGATGGAATTTGGACATTACTGTTAGCTAGGTTAGGGTTAACATGGGGTATCGCGTAGAGACTGGAGACCAATACTCGACATATACGGCAAAGACGGGGGAACTGTGATGATTATTTCTGAATATTAGGACGGACTGATGTCTGATACTGACATGCGAATTTAACCACTGTTGATAGCAGCTGGCAGGATGCAAACTCGTGGCTTCATTGCTGGACACTTGACTCTGTACTCAGCAACTTAAGAGCGCGGAATTGACTCCAGGTCTTCTGGATCCTGATTTATCGTACGGTTTGATGAAAGCGGCAAAACAGTTCTAAGTGGCAGATTTAGTTAATAATTCGGATGAGAACCGACTGAACATCCGGCTTGTTGCTCGGCTATGGAGCAATGAACTTAGAACTCAGGGACCAAATGGGTCCGGACTCGAGTACTGCGGTGTATAAACCCGAGATTGCGTATCACCGTTTGAAAAGGACTAATATGTCAGAAGTGCCAACCCATTCTTCCTTGTCTTTGATGATACTCCTTCTGCAGATGTCGGCGTAAGCATCTCTCATGAACTCGTCAGTTAAAACTCATCCTAATATACATATGTATCGTGTATATCATCCCCCGAGGAAGACAGAGATGAGAAAGCGATTTCATGGGCCAAGTTGTATTCAAACTGACGTTTCGGAAACTCTCTCGTCTCCATCATCAGAGCCGTTCGCCGGCGTTTCTTGCTCGCCTTGATCTGTTCAGCCTTGCGGCCTGCCTCGTATTATAACCGTGCCCAGCGCACGTTCGTTGGCTACCCTGCTTTCCGTTGTCTGATTGTCGCCTCCCTGATCCCAGCCATTGGCGGACTGGCGTGGCTTGTGTTCCCCTCAAGCGGTTGCCGCTGCAGCGGTGTGCTCGTTGGCCTCCCCCTCGTCAGACGGCGGTCGTTGTTCCTCAGGCGTGGTGTTTCCGGCCTCGCGAGTACGTCCGTGAGACAGTGTGCCACGCCGGTCACGTGACATTCGGTCAGCGCCTTCTCTTCTCTCCGCGAGCGTCGGCGCTCACCGATCGTTCTTACGGAACTCCCGTTCCGTTGTGCCTTATGTACTCTCTCTCGAGCCCAACCAGCAGCCGCACAGCGTCGGTAATATCATTCTGCCTTTATCATGCGTCACTGTGCGGCTGCTGGTTGGGCTCGAAAGAGGGTCCATAAGGCACAACGGGACGCTTGAGCTCCCTTCTACCATTAGATGTTTGTATAGGATTTTTGAGGGTGTTGAGGTAAGGCGTTGCAACCCTACAGCCTCCCCAGAAAACGGTGCAAGAAGTCGGCCAGGAAAAAGCCAACTTATGCATGAATGCTTGTCGGCTGGTAGTTCGTCTTTTTCGGCCTGTACCAGTAGAGCAATCAATCACGACATTTACGATTCGTTTTCGTTGTCTTGTTAACAGTGTTGTACATACTGACAGTACAGGTGCCGGCCTGTAAATTCCAGACACGTTTTGGCCAATATTCCACAGCTGGATAGTACTGCTGCGAGATGTTTGATGCATCAATAGGTCCCCCTGAGACCTCATCCCCTCAGGGACCACTCGAGCGATTCCCACGTCACATTTCCTCATTTCATCCTCCTGCATCCATCCCGGGCAGTTTGATCAAATTCTCATTACTAACTTTGAGCAGCCACACGAAAGGTCCGTTCCACTGAATTCATTTACCACGTAAGAAGGCTTCAGCGGCGGACTGCTGTCGGCATGCCGACGTTGTGGAAACTCAGACGCGACTCCAATGACTCACTATTCGCTGAAAAAAGGAAGGCAATTACGAATGAAAAGACTACTACACAGGATACCTAAAAGAACATGGACTACTCTCTTCACAACCAACTTCAAAAGGGCATAGAAAAACTACTCTTTGCATTAAGCTAGACCGGAAGTTGCTGGTTAACTCTGCATAAGGTAGACTCCACCGTAAATTCCGACGCCCCGATGCTAGAACCATGTTTGGTAGTTGGGAGTTAAGCAAGTTAATGCGGTGAGGATTAATATGTGGGCCTCGTAATGGGGTGTCTCGTAGAGAAAACTATCTGACCAAGAAGTTACCCGCAATTCTATGGTGAAATCTCTCACCATGACAGCTGAGTCGAACGAATGATAGCCGGAATGGAGGCTGAATACTTACGAGGCGTTTATCGAACGCACACATACAGGTCCTTCCGGTACCTTCTATTCTGATAAATTGATCAGCTATGCACTAAACAACTCCTGCTGGATCACAGAAGTCGGACTGACGACAGCAAACCGGATAGAATGATCAATGTGATTTCGGGCAGGGCGAAGATATATACCGTTAATGACCTACCTCAATAATGGTGTCGAAATTTACGAATGGTTGCCAATCACTCGCAACCCGGCACCAATGCATGGACTAAGTATCTATGTTAATAAAAAGCAACTTTAAAGGTACTGAAAACATAAAAGAAATATTAAAGGCAATGTTGCGTAGTTCAGGAATGCCAATATTTTTTTTAGAAAAGTGCAAAATCCCGAGAACGTTGAAAATAGTTGTAATTAGTAAACTTAATTTTTAGATGTGGAGAATGTCTGATCATTGCAAAAAACTGATCAATTATGGGAGCACACATAATGTAACTTTTGAAAATAGTGTTTAAATGAAGTTCACACTTAAACATCCTTTAAAATTTGTGTAATTTCGGATATGGCGGTTTGCAAACAGCATACTTTCTGAGCATATATTAGAAAACGGTTTAACGAATATCCGTGGTGTTCTTTACGTTTTTGAATTGACTGAGATGCGACTCAATAAGGTAAAAGGATTTCGCTTTACCTCGTCGACATGGACGTCACAGGAACAAAAGTTTTTATAAGGTCACATGCTGTCAGGCCGATCGTTTAATAAAAAATTTAAATAGAATTGACAGATATAATCTCGAACTTACTATTCCCTGTTTATAAGGAAAACTTTCCTTCCACAAAATTAATATTTTCATCGACTTCTTATAAAGACAGATTCCATATTATGCTTCTATTAAAAACTTTGAAGTAGGCTACCTCTCGAAAGCATTTACCCAGATAACGAGTGTTTGGGCGCTCTTTTTCTTATAGAGGGTCATTTTGCTCATATTTGAAGACTTACCCAGACAGGAAACCTCATCATCGAATTAAATGAACGTCCACAGCAGAGACCAGCAACGAATATGCTATTGGTCAATTAGAAAACATTTTCTAATAAGCACCTTTTTAAGGAGGGCTTTTTTACTGCATTCCGTTGATGAATGTTTGTGTATTTTGCATTTTTCACACGCTGAAGTTAAGAAAAATGTGACACTTTTGGCCGTTTCTTTCACGCTGCTAAAAACGCTGATATTTGTCTGAGGCAAAAGTAAGAACATGCATTTCCCTTTCTACCGGATCCATTTTCGCGATCTTTGTTCACTTATAGACTGCATTCTACCATAATGAATGCACGGCAGGGTGGCCATACAAATACTGGTATTTCGCTGAAATCATTAATGTTTTGTTCGTTTCATTTCTGATTTAGGTATATGAAGGAGCTAGACCACATGAAGTATAATGTTCCATATGCTCAAAACTGAAGATAAATATTTGGTAGGAAGCATTTATGTGACGAAAACTGGATTTTTCCAAGCGACAAAACAGTTTCAGCCCATTTAAACAAAGGATCGCTTGTGTGCCTTATTACCGCGCTTTAGTGTACCAGGTCGCACAGATTTGTCAATCTGACGTCCGAAAAGTCGATAAAACTCTCGGTTCTATAAAAAAACAACTTTTTTGCCAGCAGACTGAACTCCACGGTTGGGATCAGGCCAGAAATCACTTTTAAAGTTCGGTAAGCTCTGTTTAATAAGTCTCAGAAACAAATTACTCTTCTTTCAAATAAGAACACACTTAGGTGCGCAATCAAAGTCCAGGATAGGTATTAGCACAGGAAATTGTCCGCATAAATCTCGATGTCTATTTTCGCCCAAATGTATGAAAATTTTGCTTGGTAAAATTAAGTGGACAAAATTTCTGCAGAAGAAGGGGATATTTCATTAAAGCGGCTGGATAAGCGAGAAAAATTCGCAAAGTTTCAGACCTCTGAAAATTCTCACATCTTTTTTTTCATCAGGTTTCATGAATTACGTCACATACAGTAAGTGAGGCAACTATAGGATCAGTAGCGTGAAAGGTAACTTTTATTATTTTGTGGACAGAAGTACTAACAAGCTGTTCAGAAGACTAGTTGGCGAGCAAACAGTGGGTGGCTCATGAAATGTCGCGGTCAAAATATGAGTGAGAGGTATGTCATGCATTCGGTTTTGTGATCTGCTGTTTTTAAATTAATCTGAGGCACAAAAAGCTATTTACTGGCGAGAGGTTCATTTCCAGTCAGTTTTATTAAGGGAAAACTAGTCAGATTTGGGCGAAATCTGACCTTTCTTGATGTTCAAGTGATTTATTGAACTGTTAAAATTCACATATAAAAACCATATATTTATTCGCGTTGTGCCTTAGATGGAGATTAATAGAAACATAAAAAGCACGAAGTGAATCCTTTCTGGGAATCTAAAAATCGATTTTGCTTCCAGGAAAATTACGAGAGAGCTGGTATAAGAGAATGGGCTGTTTTCAAGAAAAAGGGACAAATTCAGCTTTTAAAACTCTGCTTTGTCAACTTCCAGCGTTTTATAACATAAAACTCAGTAATACACTTGCTTGACAGTAATTTTTACCATACCGAGAATTACTACTTAAAAACATAAATATTGAGCACCTGCGACGTCCTTTACTTTTCTGTTCCACGCCGTATGAGAAAGATGGCCAGGCAACTTCTATTAGCAGTCGACTGCGAAAGGATACGGAGATTAGCAGTGAGAGGGTTGTCACACAAGTTTTTAACAAGTATTCCCAAAAACAGTAAGGTTACTCTGTGACGAATAATTAATGATAGAACCGTGCCCAGAACTATGAAGGGTGGGCGAAAACGGTCCAGGAGTAAGCTAGGCGATGATTTTATTTGTCGTAAATAAAAAGGCATCATCATATGCCCATTGAGACCACTCACAGGATACACCTGTCTATGCTTTCTATGAACGTAATTCGTAAGAGGATGCGGAAATTTGAACCTCATCAACAAGAGGCCGTGATTAAGTTGTTTCTAAGTGAAAAAACTCTTTAGAGAACATTTTCTTATCTGCTAAGAAATATATTGATTACCGGGTCTCATTCAGGAAGAGCATTTACTTCTGCATTGAGGTCTTATTTTTAGACAAGCCTACGAAGTCGACCCATACGGTTATAACTGGAAAAAGCATATTGCGCGGGCGGCAATCTTAGAGAACTGCCGACGGGTAATGGCTTGGATGGCAACTAATTTCGGAGAGCGATCAGTCGACAACGGACACCATCAAAAGCAAAACGTTCATCAAGATCGTGAAAGATGTCCTCGATTACAGCGGCATCCACAGACGCCAACTAGATACCATAATTGTACACGACAATGTTTTCAACTATAATCTACCTTTTTAGACAACAGCCAGCCTCTCCGCATGTGGCCTTCAGTCGATTTTTATCCCTGCCGACAGCGCGGATCTCAGTCCTATTGAAAATATCTTCATGCTTATCAAAAGACATTGGCACAAGGCGAAGAAGAAACTTTCAGTGCAAGAAAAGCTTGATTTTTTGCTAGTTAATCACATTGAATAATTCAATATAGACAATCTGGCCAACTTTATGTCTGAGAGACTGTGTGATAAACGCAAATGGACAATCGACAAAGTACTGATCTTGTGAATTTGCTACTATTTTTCTTTATTTTCCCCATCTCATGCACCCACCTCCCTTATACACCCTTACAGATAGCCCCATTTAAGCGATTTATAATACAGCCATTTTCTGAAATTCTAGTTTGCAGTGAAAGTTAATTATTTTTACGCTAGTAAATATTAATCTACAACGCCGGCTATGCGTTCTTTTTTAAGAACAGTCATTTTTTTCACTGCTGTAAGACTTCGAGGAACGCAGTTTGGGCGAATTTTGCCTGTTAGGGATTTTCTTTTGTTAACTCGTGACATTTCATGAGTTGCTTAGGGTAGCTTGAGGGGACCTTATAGATTACGCAAAAAGCTTATCTGGGGTCTACACGATAACCGAGATCGACGTTTGCAAGAACAGCGCTGTCTATTCTCCTAGTTTCACCTTTTTGCCAGCCATGCTGGGAGGTGGTGCCGTATCCTTTTGGATAGGCACTGACTTGTACGACCAATATAACCTGATCAAAAGGAGCCAGTGAAGGAAAGGGTGCATATTGAGCTAGTCTGAGATGGCCGGCGTCTGCTAGCAGCAGCAGAAGCGGCTGTTATCAGGTTGCAAAAGCCGGTCTTGCGCTCACAGAAGAACAGCGTTCGGACTTCGAACCTACAGTAGTCAAAGGTTAACTAACTACATGCAAATCTCCGTGTTCTTGCGCCCTCACCCTACCCTTGACATTGACTCTTACCGCCTCCGACACTTACTCCTCTACATTCCCTATATTCCGACTTTCTCGATGAGTTGTGCCTTAGGGCTCAAATTGGCGCCCTCGTAGGCATTCATCCAGTGGATGCAAACAAAACCGTCGTTAGCCAGCCGTATCCAACCACATACTACATGATATTGACCCTCCTAACTTATTCGGTCATCGTCGGAAGCG